ACTCAAAAACTATATAATTCTAGAACCTAGTGGTTGGGTATGACAAATTATGATCTCTCTCTCCCACCGCATATGCTCAAGAGCATATTTTGGGTATAAATATGTCAATGTCTGCTGTCGGTATATGTGCATTCCAGCTATATGACTAAAACTTTAGCTGTTTGTGGGTAAACAAGGGATGCTTCATGGTTTCCTCCAGGAGAGACCAAACAGCTCTGTGAGATAGTAAACTATAAGATCAGTGACTTAAGGGCAAATTATTCTAAAAAGGTTTTGGTCTGAAATCATTCTTTAGCATAGTTATTTTTTCTGTTCTTTTTACAACCAAATCTAATTTAGTTTTGACATCAACCCTGTGGAATAGCACAGTTTTTTACAGAAGAGGAAAAAGAGGCTCCACGATTAAGTCATTTGTTCAGGATCACACAGCTCATTACAGCCAGATCAAAAAACCAAGATCTAGGGCTTCTGACTCTGGGCTTGTGTGTTCTGGCTAGTACTGTGCAGGGGGGTCAAAAGAGACCCTGTGCATAGACACAGAGCAGGTGGGGTCTGTTTCTAGGTCAAGACAAAGTAGAGAGCCTTTAGCTAAAGATGCCAGGCTGACTTGTCTGTCCTCTTCCCATGTTGGCAGCCTACTGGCTGCATTGCCCTTTCATTCAGAGTAGAAGCTCAGGAGACTTAAAGATAATGGCTATTTCAAGAGTCATGAACTATGATTAGAATTAATTTGGGGATCCCTGGGTGGCTCAGTGGTTTAGCGCCCGCCTTCGGCCCAAGGCGTTATCCTGGAATCCCAGGATCGAGTCCCACATCAGGCTCCCTGCATGGAGCCTGCTTCTCCCTATGCCTGTGTCTCTGCCTCTGTGTGTGTGTGTGTCTCTCATGAATAAATAAATAAAATCTTTTTTAAAAAGAATTAATTAGAATGTCAGGGGGCAATGATAAGAAGTAATAGCATTCTGGGGCCTCTGGCAAGATGAGGGAGATGTTTACTAACTCTTTTCAGAGAAGAACCTGACTTGCCTCTTTCTCTGGGCTCACTTCTATGAAGCAGGGATGTGATCGCACCATCTCTCATGGTTGCCATGAGAATCAAAGGAGATTGTTAGGTTACAGTGCCTCTGAAAAGGCACACAACGTTTGCTTATTCATTCAAACAACTGACATTCGTTGAGGACCTACAATATCCCAGGAACGGTGTTAGGAACTGGAGGAAAACTCAGACAGGAACCAAGGAGCTCTGAGTCACCATTACTATCTCCCCTACCGCCTCTTCTTAATTCCTTTTGTCTCTTCTCACCCAGGGCCCTATGAGGGAAAATGGTCTCTTTAGCCAAGTCCCCAGCTAAGTGCAGCCCTAGGGAATTCCTGCTAGGTCCCATCCTCTAGGCCTACATTGGACCAGCAGAGGGCTCCCTCTGCTGCAGCTTGTCCAACAAATCATTAATTCACTTGCTGTGAACCAGGCATGGTTCTAGGTGCCGGGTGAATCATAGTGAACAAAGCTACAAGGTCCCTGCCCTCATAGAGTTCATTTTGTACTGGGGAAGGCAGATCTTAAATAAATCAACACACAAATAAACATATATTCACAAATTGTGGTGAGCGTGTTATGAGGTGGGGAGAGAGAAGCAGAACCCAATTTAGAAAGTCTATGTGGGGAGACATGAAGCTGAGATTCTAGAAAGATAAGTCAGCTAGCAGACAGCCTGAGGAGGAGTCTTCCAGGCAGAGCGAGTAGAATGGCCTAAGGCCCTTGACTTGGGAGGGAACATGGTGTCTTCAAAGAACTGACAGAAAAGCAGTGCAGCAGAGACCAGAGCAAACAAAACAGTGGTGCCTGACAGAGCTAGAGTGAGAGGCAGAGGCCAGAACATGCTGGGCCTACAGACTGAGGTAAGGAATTCACTGTAAGTGCTCTGCACTTCTAGGGCCTTCTGCTAGTGTTAGTAAAGAGACAACCCAGGGATGCCTGGATGGCTCAGCGGTTGAGCATCTGCCTTTGGCTCAGGGCATGATCCTGGGATCTGGGATCGAGTCTCACTTTGGGCTCCTTGCAGGAAGCCTGCTTCTGTCTCTGCCTCTGTGAGTGTGTATGTCTCTCATGATTAAATAAATAAAATCTTAAAAAAAAAAAAAAAGACAACCCAGGTGGGGGTACCTGGGTAGCTCAGTTGGTTAAGTATCTGCCTCAAGCTCAGGTCATGATCTTGGGGTCCTGGGCTCTCTGCTTGGTAGGGAGCCTGCTTCTCCCTTTCCTCTGCCTGCTGCTCCACCTGCTTTTGTCCTCTCTCTCTGCCAAATAAACAAATAAAATATTTTTTAAAAAAGAAAAAGAAACAACCCGGGTTGCTCTGCTAGCTCTGCCATCCTATGATGGTGATGAAAAGCTGGGAGTTAGCTAGGGTAATTTACCACAGTACAAATCACAACCACCACCACCACCACCACCACCACCACCACCACCACACACACACACACAAATGTCATTTTCAGCTCCTTTGTTTTAGGTAACTGACCTATAAACTCAGAACCTATGAACTGGACAATTGATGCCAAAGTTTTTTTTTTTAATTTTTTTATTGGAGTTCAATTTGCCAACATATAGCATAACACCCAGTGCTCATCCCGCTATGCCAAAGCTTTTCATCCCCACCCCTATACTGATCACAGATCTACAGAAATAAGTTAGTTAATTCACTGGTCATTGTGCCTATCACACTCCTTAGGTTACTCAGATGGCTTGTATCTCTTGGGATGGAGTATTGATTTACCCCCTAAAACCTAGAAGGGGGTGTAAATGTGCACAAATAACTGTAATAAAGGGAAGAGAGTGATAAAAGTCACACGAAGTGGAACAGAGTAGTATTATTTAAGTAATAAAGCTCTTTCAAATACAAGCTATAGGAGCTATTGCGTACTCATCTGTAAAGAAAATCAACATTATCAAGTGGTGGTAAATTATAAGTGGTGCAAACACTGCCTCCCATAGTAGATCACAGGGAGCAAAGCCAGGTGGAGTTAGGTGCTCTCAAGCCCTGCAGGTGGGGATGTAAATTGGTACTTTGGCTGTCTTTCTGGGAAGAAAGTTAAGAGCCTCTAAAAAATTCGCTTTGATCCAGTAATTCCACTTCTAGGAATCCACCTCAAGGGGGCAGGGAAGAGATTTATTTGAAGATTTTATTTTTTTATTTTATTTTATTTTATTTTATTTTATTTTATTATTTTTTTTATTTATTTATTTTTTTTTTTTTTAAAGAATTTTCGTTATGAGGGCAGCCCGGATGGCTCAGCGGTTTAGCGCCGTCTTCGGCCCAGGGCCTGATCCTGGAGACCCTGGATCGAGTCCCATGTCGGGCTCCCTGCACGGAGCCTGCTTTTCCCTCTGCCTGTGTCTCTGCACCTCTCTCTCTGTCTCTCATAAATAAATAAAACCTTTAAAAAAAAAAGAATTTTCGTTATGAGATTATTCACTATCAAATGGCTAGAAACAACTTAAGAGTCCAACCTGGATAATAAGAATACATGATACATCCTTATGATATAATACTTTCTGAAAAGTGGTAGTGACTTTTTGAGAACTCAAGATACCGTTTACCATTTAAGGGAACGTGCAAACTAATAATTACAATATAACAGGATAACTGCTGTGACAGAGCAAGATGGGAACAACTGGAGGAAAGAGGGAAGGAGTCCCAGAATATTCGAGGTGGATCTTAAAGCATGTGTAGGAGTGTGAAGGCAGAAGGGAAAGAAAGGACGAAGTGGAGACCCCTATATTCTGCAAAAGAAGACTGGGAAGGTAACAGACCTCTTGAGAAAGGCTTGCAGGAGCCATACCTTTCATACAACCCCGGCGTGCAAACCGATAATGTTTCCTCAAGTGAATGCAGGAGCCCAGCCCTGCAGGTGACTGGTGAACCTCTCCCAAGGCAGAAAGGTTCGCCCGCGGCCACGCCCACCGGAAGCGCTGGAAATGTCGTAAGGCCGCTGGCACAGGGCTGATCCCTGTGCTCAGGAGCGAAATAAGTCCCAGGGCTCACGTAGCCTCACCCCTAGATTTTCCAGCGGCGCCAAAAAGCGACCTGGAGTGTTGGCGCAGCGCGCAAGCGCAGTTGGCCGCTGGACCTCGGCGGTGTGAAGTTTCACACCCGGATGGAGGTTGTGTGAGGCCTCACCGGCTGAAGGGAGCGACCCTGAGGTAGAGGTAGAGCACCAGGCCGAGCAGGGAGTCCACACGGAGCCAGAGGGCACCTGGGAACCAGAGCATTCCCTTCTGAGCATGTTGCCTTGGCCCTCATGGGCCACAGCCTCCCAAGCTGTCTCCCACTGCCCGGGGTCCTGCTCCCCGGTCTCAGGCCGGTCGGGGCCCCCGCAGTTACCCCTTTCGCTTTGGTCCTCATCCCTTGAATCATCACCGTGTTCTCCCCGCTGCCCCATCACTGAGGTTTGAGAGCGGAGGCCAGGGAAAAGAAGAATGTCTCTGGCCTTGTGGCAGCTCTGCCACTTTAAGACACCTGATTTCTCTTTGGTGGCTCAGGGTTTGGTCTGAATTGTTTCTCCCTTGAAAATTGTGCCTCTCCCGGCTTCCTGACCCAACCTGTTCAAGGACAGGGCTGCCCTGGTCTTTCCAACCCAGCAGTGAGCTTGGACAGGGCCAGGGCTGTTTGCCTAAGGTACTAGTAGTTCCAGACAAAATCACTCTCTTCCCATGGTTTAGACCTCCCCTTGTCTGGAGGACTGTGTAGCTGAAGGACGCTGGGAAATGCAAGGAGATGTTTGCTCTTTAACATTTGAATTTAGATGTCTTTTCTGGTCACCTGCACCTTCCTGCCAGTCACAAAGCCCACTCATTGTTGTCTTATACTTGTCTCTTTGTAGTCATCTTACCTACCTAGACCCAGAAGGCAATGAGTTTCCTGTCACTGGAAGTTCACTCCTCTGTGGCCTCGCCTGTGGAAGTTCTCACAAATGCTTCTTCCCCTATGACCCAGATCATGTCTCATTTGGATGAAGCAGCCCGCCAGCTGTCCAAAAGTGGGACAACTCTCTATGCCGTGCTGGAGCTTAAGAAAGGTGCCTCACCTGAAGACATCAAAAAGGCTTACAGGTTCAAACATCAGCCTCTTATTAAACCCCAGAATTCCCCGCCGCCTTAAGCCCTTGTCTTTCTACCTTGCTTTCTGACCCATTGTTAAATCCTCAAGCCTTCACTTTGGGTCACATGGGGCCATCATCCTTTTCAATGTGGCATGGCCAGGAATTTAGATGTGGGCTGCTTGCCTCCATCCTTTGTGCCACATCTCATGCATTCTTCTTTTCATCTAGAGACCTATCCCTGTCATTCATCCTACCTCCTTCCCCAGCCATTCCCCCACCATCCTCTCTCCACCCTCCTTTTGGGTATTGCCTGGGTAGGAAACTGGCCTTGAAGTATCATCCAGACAAGAATCCAGGGGATGCTCAAGCAGCAGAAATATTCAAAGAGATCAACACAGCCCACTCCATACTGAGTGACCCTAAGAAGCGGAAAATCTACGACCGGCATGGCTCATTGGGAATATATATATATGATCACTTTGGCGAAGAAGGCGTCACTTACTATTTTACGATGAATAGTTGTTGGTTCAAGGTATACAATTGTTCCTAGTCCCTTAAGTATAAGGAAGGAGGAGTGGCCCTCCTCTTGTTCAATAGCTGACCCTTCTCTCCCAGGACAGATCCTTCTGTTTTCTCATTTTCTTGGTGCTAAGGGGATTGAGGGAGGGGAGTGAAATGGAACTAAGAACTGCTGGGTTGAAAAAAGAAAAAAAAAGAACTGCTGGGTTGAGGCCATCCTTTCCTACCTTTCAGACACTTGTCCTCCTGTGCGCTCTGCTCACCTGTTGCTGTTGCTGCTGCTGCTGCTGCTTTTGCTGTGGAACACTTAAGCCACCATCTGAGGAGGTTGCCAAAAGATATCAGCAGAATGTCCAGAATCAGCCTCCGAGGTCAGGTGAGAGCCATAGACAGATTCTGAGGTAAGAGCTGGATTAGGAATGAAAGAAATTGTTGGGGGTGAAACTCTGAACACCTAGTGTGGGAGTCTCAAGTCGGTTTTGAGGTAAAGTGAAGAAAGAGAAGGGGATACACTCTGAGGGGCTTATGCCAAAACTGATGGTTTGAATGTAATATTGGCCTCTCATGACTGTTAGGCTAAGGAATGGGGTGGCAGTTAAGGTAAGGAATGGTGGGAGAGTATCTAGAAAAGGCAGTAGTTGAAGACAAGCTAGAGGATGATGTTTATTGCCTTTACTGGGAGGGGAGATGAGGTGTCTGAGATCATTTCCATCCCAAGGAGTTAAAGTGAGGCTTGACTGAAGTTCACTCTAGTTCCACCTAGTGATGCTGATGTGTAACTGCAGGGTAATGGTTTTCTCACCACTATATTCAAAATTGTTACTAAGTAATTGTATGTTTTTCAAATTCCATCATAGGAAACAAAAGAAATTTTAGAAGAGGGGAAGATGATAGCGAAGATGATTTCTAAAATATGAAGAGGAGTGAGGTATATATGGAAGCTAAAATGCAGCATTAATCAAAGGATAAGAAAAAACATACACTAACTTGTAATGAGTCATTAATAGAAAGTTTGTATCTTATACTATAGACTTCAGGTGTTTATATCCTTACCCACAGGGGGCTTGCTTTGAATTCTGGGTCATCGTTCCTTCTGGTTAATAAGATGCCAACCTCTTTTGCCCACAGGTGCTGACCCAGCAAAGGGTGCCTGCCCATCCCACTGGACACGTTGAAGAGAGGAGCAAATAGCCCTGTCCTGACATTGACCCTGATTTCCCCCTCTTTTTTTTTATAAGAATCCCAACTTTGGAAGCATTGATGGCATCTATCCCAGTGAGAATACCACCTCTGTCCTTGATGATACCACTGACCCGGGCAATACAAGGTCACCCAGCTATTCTTTTTAGCTCCAGTCCCAATTTTAATCTGTTTAGATAACAGCCCTCCCATCCCTACCCTTATGACTTCTCAGACAGTGGTGAGCATTCTTTTTCCTGTGCACTCTTTTTTCCTGTGCCTTGGGATTTGAGCCAATTTCAGCTGGTAGGGGCCCTGAGCCACTTGTAGTATCTCCACCAAGATCCTGATAACTGAGCAGGGTGGTTCCTATCCCAGAGCTGCTCTATCAGCTAACCCTCCTTTGTTGCAACACTGCACCAAGAACTTTTAGCATCAGCCTCATTCCTATACCAGCACACCTTTCTGGGGCTGGTCTCACTTCTCCTGGTGCCCAAGCACTTGATGTTGTCAGCATCATTCTATGCCACCATGACTCAGCTCAGGCAAAGTATGAATGCATTTGAGGTGTAGAGGTAGTTATCTCACCTTTGGATTCTGTCTGGACTCCACCACAGCACAACACTCCTCACCATGGGTCCTGTGGGCTGACCAAAGTTCATACATCAGTGGTTGCTTGCCTCCATCCTTTTTACCACATCTTATGCAGGCTTATCACCATATATGTTGTTCTTAAAATGGGCATGAAACATTTTATAGGGAAAAGATACTACTTTTACAGACCCTTTCCCCACTTGTGCCTCTTCATACTGCCTGTTTGGTACCCTCTCCACACCATTTATTTCCCATCCACCCAAGGTCAGAACTGAGTAACTCCTCAAACTTCTCTCTCCTGACTGGGAGAGGGACTAAGAAATGTCAGTAAATAAACGATCTTTTGTCCAACCCAATGCATTTGTTGGACCTCAAAAAGACGAATCATGCCTGGGATAGAGCAAAAGGCCCATGGGAGAAAAAGACAGAGGGTGGGTTGCCCCTATCTGAGACCAGCCTGCTTTGGAAAGGAGGAGTCCAGAACAACTATAGAGTTGGGGCAGAGGCTTCCTGGAGCCTTGTGATTATGACTTTGTCAGTGCTCTAAAATTTCCCTGGAGACCAATTCCCCTGGTGCCCAAAATAGGTTCCTGGCACTCAGGTCCTTTCTGCTCAGCTCAACTTCTCTTGATTTCCCAACAAATTTAAAGTCCTTGGAGTTGCTCCAGTGATGTGTTCATGGACCAGATTCCCACACTTTCTCAGAGGCATGCTCATGAGGTCGTTTCAGGCCCTGGGGCAGCTGCCAGCTCTAGCACCCTTAGCTTCTTTTCCTAGGGTGATACAAGAAAGTTCTAGGCGAGAACAAGAATGGACCGGAAGTGTTGGACCAGAGTCTTTCCCTCTAGTGTCTGATGCCCCTGTTTTGAATCACAGGGTTCAGCAGAACAGGGTGAAGATCACAGGTCAAGCCTTGGAGGTCCTGTCTAGGTTTTGAGATCTCTCCTTCCACCCTGAGCCATGTATGGTTCTCATCCAGGCCATTTTAGATTCTGCATTGTTGCTCTGGAAGAAGAGCCCACACCAGAGCATGGGGGTCAGGGGCACACCAGAGCCTACTGAGCGTGAGAGCTTGACATCTTTGCAGACCCACCTTTTACCATAAGCAGTGGAGCTCACTCCTGCTCTTATGAGAGTCACCCATTCCTGAGTGAGTCAGGGTCACTCACTTGGTGACAGCTGTGGCTCGCCTTACATGAGCTAAATTGGGAGTTGGAATGTCATGCAGATGCCCCTTGTTCCCCACCCCCATGTTAAAATTAATCTCCTCTCTGGGAAGTGAGGGACAAACAGTACTGCCCATAGAGTGAACAAGAATCATTTGGGGAACAAAAGGAGAAATTTTCAGGGACAGAATCATTCAGGAAGGGAGGGACAGATAAAGCTACATGTGCCTGGTTGGGGTACAGAGCAAGGAATAGAGAAAGAGAAGTATCTGAAAACAGCTATCTGAAGACGAGGTGAATTGTTGGAGGAAGGGACAGGAGAGATAGCAGAGCTATTTCAAGAGTGATCAGTAGAAGGGAACATAAGAATCTACGGGCTGTCTAAAGTAAACGAGGAAGGGTCCAGGGGCAGTGAGGGAAGGCCAGGACTAGGGCCAAGGCCAGGGCAGGCATAATCGCTGAGGGGATGAACTTCACAGTGGGTTTCAAGCCGCTGCTAGGGGATGCACATAGCATGGACAACCTGGAGAAGCAGCTCATTTGCCCCATCTGCCTGGAGATGTTCTCCAAACCGGTGGTGATCCTGCCCTGCCAGCACAACCTGTGCAGAAAATGTGCCAACGATGTCTTCCAGGTGGGCCAGGGATCGGGGGAGGGCAGGACCAGGTAAAGCAGTGCAGATTTGTGGGAGACTTCTCATCAGGTCAGAGCTGAGACCAGAAGGTGATGGGGCAGAGTACTCTATGAAGTGGGTGGTATCTGTCCTGGCAGAAGAGCAGAAGATTCGGGGTCCTAGTAGATCCCAAAGTAAGCATGAGTCAGCAGCTGCTCTGCAGGCTGGCGAGGACAGCCTATGCATGCCTGGACAGCAGCTGGAAAGCTGGTATCTGCAGAGGAGAGAAGACCCCCATAGAAACTAGAAACTGGGAGGGAGGTGGTCCTACCCTAAGCTGCTTAACACTCTGTACTGGACTCTGTATTCCAGTCTAGAGTTTCAGATTTTGAGAATGATATGGAAGATTTGGAGAAAATATCAATGAGATAATGAAACATTAAAAAATAAGCCCTATGAGCACAGTCCATGATGAAAGTATTTGTATTTGAGGCCAAGCTTAGCACATCCATCTTTTGGGGCAGAGTGGGAGTGGGTAGGAGATTGGGAATTCTCCCCAACTAAAGTTCACACCTGTGCCCCACTCCAGATTGGTCAATAAAGGGGCCTGCTGGTTAAAAAGTACTGTGGTCACTTAAGTAGAGAGAATGCAGAGAAATGCAACCAGCTTTGGTTTATGTGCGGTCATGGGCAAAGCATAGCTAATCAAATTCACAGATGTCATTTTAGCTACTGGTTTCAAAAAGAAATGCCGCATATACCAGAATGGTTTATAAACAGATTTTCTATTTTGACCTCTGCCACTGGAAGAAAGATCAGAGAAAGTAAGGGGAAAAGTTGCATACACACACACACACACCCCTTGCAAATGAAGTAAAATATCTGAATAAACCAGAGCTAGCTAGCTTAGTAGGCAGGGCAGTGTTAAGGAACATCACTAACACATATTCTTCACCTGTATCAGAATTCAGGGAGAAATGTGTTGAACACAAATGATTTTAAAGTAAACCAAGAAAATGGCTTTTTTTTTTTTTTCCGGTTCTTTGGGGCAGCATGTTTGGGAAAAAATAATGGGCTGGCTAAGTCAGGCTGTCCCATAGCTGTGCCCTGTGACCTATCCTTGGCAGTCTGCCATCTTCCTGTTGAAGCCCATTCCCATCTCCTATTCTTCTGTGTCTTAGCCTGCTGTTACATTGTTTGGCTCCAGAATATCTCAGAGCCAAGGATTTTCCCTCTCTGGGAAGGGCTGACTGCTCTGTCTGCTTATCCTGGACATCAAGTCATGTACTAGAGGCTTCGCCTTGCCCACTATTTTAGTTTTCCTCAGGCTAAGTACATTTCTGAACATCCTTCAGTCAGATGCCTAGGAGGGAATGGCAGCAAGGTTTTGCCATCACTTTTCATGAATTTGTAGTGGAAACATCCTTCCATTAGATCTGGAAATACATGAAAGCAAAGAGAAGTTTTGAAAGTGAGGGTAATCTGTCCTATTAAAAAAAAAAAAGCCACCAGAGTATCAAAGTACGAAGCATATAGTATCATCGGGCAGAGGGTCCCAGGGAAAAGCTCTCTGTATGGAGGCTACAGAATGTTTAAGTGGCCTCCCTTGTTCTAGTCAGTGCTCTATATCCAGGTGCACCATTTTGGTGCCTTAAAGCTCTGAAATACTGATTGGACCCAGAGAGAACTGAGACTGGGCTGAACCCTATGCAGAATGTTTGGGAAACAACATGGTTCCCAGAACTTTGAGATGGTTCTGTGGATCTGGACTGATATGTCTCTTTTAAAGTGCAGAGCACCCCTGGGCATCCCCCACCAAGGAGAAGAGTGAACAGCTCATTTCCTTGCTCTGCTTTATTTGGGGCAGCCTGGTGGGAGGCTGACCCAGTTCTTTGGCTGCACTTATGTATATACATCTCAGTAGTTCTCCCTCTGAAAGATGAGCATATTTAGTTTTTTCACACATTGCCTCCACATTTTGACAACTGTAGGCATAATCAGATTGTCTGTTTTCTAAGTATGGGAACAAGAATAAGACTTTTGGTAACTCTATCTTAAAACCACTTAGGAAGAATACCCTGAGAACATTGCCTAGAAAGTTAATAGAACTTATAAAAGTTATACCAGTGTCACACACACACACACACACACACACACACACACACACACACTTTAAAAAATAGTATAGGAGTTTATAGCATGAAAAATGACTATCTCAGGCTCTCACTTCCCTTCTCCAAATAGAGGTAGCCATTTCCAATTTTCTTGGGTACCCTCCCAGAGATTTTCCATGGATAGGTCCACCTATGTTTGTGTGTTTAAATTACACTCATCGTCCTACATCTGCTTTTGTTCACTTACTCTTTCTGTAGTTATTCCATCTGCACACATTCAGATCCGCATTTTCATTTTAAAATGGCTGCAGAAGTGTGCCTGGGTGGCTCAGTCTGTTAAGCTTCTGACTCTTGATTGTGGCTCAGGTCATGATCTCAGGATCATGAGATCAAAACCCTGTGTGAGGTTGAGCCTGGGTCCTGCTTGAAATTCTCTTTCTTCCTCTCCCTCTGCCTCTCCCTGCCCTTCCCCCACTCTCGCTCTATAAATAAATAAATAAATAAATAAATAAATAAATAAATAAATAAATAAATAGTTGCATAGTGTTCCATTGTTATGATTGGACTGCAGTCTATTTAAATCAGTCCTCTGAAACATTTAGATGGTGTCCAGTGTTTTGCTGTCCTAAAAACTGCTGTGATGGACAACAAACAAGAATTTTAGGGTATTGTGGGCACCTTGCTGACTCAGTTGGTAGAGCATGAGATCTTGATCTTGATCTCGGGGTTGTGAGTTCAAGCCCACGTTGGGTGTAGAGGTTACTTAAACATTAAAATTTTTTTTAAATAAAAGAAGTTTAGAGAATTGTGATTTTATAACATCGGGTTAATTAGAGAGCCAGGAAAAAAATCTGGAAAGTTAAAACTTTTAATTGAAAATGTTGAACAGTATTAAGGGTTTGGGAGAAAATCATCCAGAATCCTACCTCCCCCAACACAGTGATTTTCGCATTTGTGTATTACTTTCAAGCTCCTGTGGCCATGCATATCTTTATATAGCTGCCATCACAATTTAACTAGTTTTATTTAGAACTGTAATACTTCTCTCCCTCACTCTGAATTTAAAGGGAAAAGACACCGAAATATCACATTAACCCCCTCTAATTTCTCCCTCCCTCTTTCTCCACACTTGCACCCACTCAGCTACCAAGCACTTTGACTAGAGGAAAGCTGTTGGTGTGGGAATTTGACACAAACATCTTCCCATGCGTTTCTGTATTTGTAAACTCTATTCACTCCTAAACTCCTTTAAGCAAGCCTTCAGTTTATTTTTATACCTGCCCCCACTTCACTGTGGGCACTTGTTTATGAGCTGCAACCTGTTGTAATTTAACAGACAACCAGAAGGCCTTAGAAGAAGGTTGTTGAGGAACAGCTTTTCTGGAAGGTGTCCATTTAGGGAGAGATTTGCAGATATGAGCATATGAAGTAAAGGGCCACCTGCTCTAATAAAGGGCAGCCTGGGAAAGCTATGACTTCTGTTTCACTCCACCCTGAAATCTAATTCCTTATCGGTTCATTGTAAAGACCTGCTGTCATCAAGGAGAGGCCCATCTCCTGAGGGCACCAGGACCTCCGGAGCCCAACAATGGCAGGTCTCCTTTATGAGAAATCAGTTCACTGAGAGTTTGTGAATGCCATTTACCTTGTAGCAGAGTTAAGGATCTTGCTTACTTGATGGAAGAAACTTACTTAATGGAGAACAAAAACCTAGACTGAGACTAGCTCCTGGGTTCTGATCCCACCAGCTTCTTCCTTTCTTGTCATGTGATGTCAATCAGGCTATTTTACCTCTCAAGCCTGTTGACATATAGATTAAAAGGATGCTTTAACATCCTTGTAATTCTAACAATCTGATTTTACAAATTCAAGAAACCTTATTACGAATTTCTTTTTTTTTTAAAGTTTATTCACTAATTTTTTTTAGTAATCTCTACACCCATCATGGGGCTCGAACTCACATTACTGAGATCAAGAGTAGCATGCTCTTCTGACTAAGCCAGCCAGCCATCCCTGGATTTTCCTTTTTAAAGCATTTTTTATTCTGTTACCAGTGTCCTAACTTTGACTCACTCTTCTGCTTTTCAATTTTCCTTCCAGCCAGTCTCCTGTCACAGAGCCTTGGTGCCAGGCTCTTTGCTAGGTCAGGCAGAGCCAGCCCTCCACTAAGAATCCCTCTCCTACCCACAGCTCAGCTTTTGCCGACATCTGAATTCTTCCAAGACTCTTCAATATTTTTCCAAATATTCCAAATGTCTGGTCTTCTGTCTACCATTTTCCTGTGGTTTCTCCAGTATACTCTGAAGATCTGGCTCAGAAGACCTGCATGGTCCACTATTCATCATTGGCCAAATCACCATTTTGGGGGAGATAGCCTCCAGACCCCCTCACCCCCGAACTCATAGAGCATCTTTCTGGATGGAACATTTCTCTCTTTAAAAAGATTTTATTTATTTACTTGACAGAGAGAGAGAGAGAGAGAGCATGAGAGAGCATAAGTAGGGGGAAGGGCAGAGGGAGAGGGAAAAGGCAGGTTCCCTGCTGAGCAAGGAGCCTGGTATGTGGCTCAATGTGGGGCTCTATCCCAGGCCCCTGGGATCATGACTTGAGCCGAAGGCAGGTGCCAAACCATTCAAGCCACCCAGGCACCGCTAGATGGAACATTTCTATTAGATGCTATGAAACATTACCAAAAAAAAAAAAAAAAAAAAAAGGAAGTACCATATAGCCTACAAGACATCTCTCTGCATGTATGCCACACAAAAGCCTTGAACATAGCCTAGGATTAAATTCTATTTATTTACTCCATTCCATTTCCTCCTCCACAGTAGAGAAAGAATAGTTATTTCATGTCCTGTGGTTCTATGTGGTCATATACTCTTAGGATTGTTAACAACTCTTTGTGCA